AGTAGTAGTAGTAGTAGTAGTAGTAGTAGTAGTAGTAGTCGTAGTCGTAGTCGTTGTCGTAGTCGCAGTAGTAGTAGTAGTAGTAGTAGCAGTAGTAGTAGTAGTAGTAGTAGTAATAGTAGTAGTATTCGTAGTCGTAGTCGTAGTCGTAGTCGTAGTCGTAGTCGTAGTCGTAGTAGTAGTAGTAGTAGTAGTAGTAGTAGTAGTAGTAGTAGTAGTAGTAGGTGGAGGAGGAAGAGGAGGAGGAGTTGGAGGAGGAGGAGGAAGAGGAGGAGGATGAGGATGGGGTTCGACGGAGGATGAAGAGACGGAGGAGGAGAAGCAGGAGGAGGAAGGAGGACCAGGAGGAGGAGAAGGAGGAAGAGGATGAGGGGGACAAGTAAGGAGTTTGGGGGATGATGGGGAGGAGGAGGAGGAGGAGGAGGAGGAGGAGGAGGACAATTACGAATCTTACAGCTGTGCTTGAGTTCGCCGCGTCTTGCATATGGTGGGCGCCTGCGCGTTGGCGGGATTGTCACCTGTACGGCCCTCACGGGGGCCTCCCAGAGAGCCCTCCGTCGTCACTGCTGGGGCCGCCCCGAAGTCCCCGTCGGGGCGCGGTCTAGCAGATGTCGGGGCTAGCAGATGTTGGTCGGGGTCCTGGCCGCGGCCTGCATCGCACAGCCTCGAATCCATGTTGCCGCGTGATCTGCTGTAGACAGGTGTGCACGCGTGCGCAGGTGCGTGCGGCTCAGGGGCCGGTCTTCGGAGCTCAGATGTCTTGCAAGGGCTACCCTATATGAGGCCACGGCCTCACTTCGCAGGCCGCTAGCTGGCCCGTGTCCTCCTGGAGACGTTTCGCGCATCGTTCGTCGTTCGTTCGCTCGCTCGTTCCTTGCCACTTGTGCACTATGAAATTGCTCTCCTGATGTCTCCCCTGTCATGGTGCCTGTTTGCGTCCGTTTCTCTGGCGTATTTACACAGATGATTCCATGATGGCATGTAGGATTTTCGTGCGATCGAATCGTATGATTCCTTCAGCAATGGTCGTCCCTGTTCAGAGCTGGCCATACTTCCGGATCGGTGCTTTGCTGCCGTCGTTCAGAAAAGCGCTGTCGCCCAAGTGCGGGCCATCTTTGTGTATCCGATTGTTTTCTCGTTGTCGCCAGCCACTTGCCGCATCATTTCCCTTTGGCTGATCCCCCTTCGTCCCCCAACTCCTAGTTTTCCTGCTGCTGCTGATCCTCATCCTCTTGCTTTTTTTTTTACTCCCAGGACTCCTCCACTCCTGTCCGTTGTCCTGCTCATTTGCCACCACTTTATCCAATGTAGAAAGCCCCTCCGTTCTGGTTGCACATCGCGCGCGATGGGTTCGTGGTGGGGGATCAAGGTTTTCTAGGACACCCCACGGGTACACCACAGTGGTGAACAACGCAATGGGGAATGAAAGGTGGCACTGTAAGGTGTCAGATGTGGCGCGCGCCTAGCTGACCTTTCTCCTCTACCTTCTCCCCTCTCCTCTCCTCTCTCCACTTTTTTTTTCGTCTCCTTTTCTCTCCTTTTCTTCTCCCCCTCTCTTTCGTCGGCTCCTCCCTCGCGCCCCTCGTACTGTCGCTGCCGATGCTGCTGCCGCGACTGCTGGGGTCATCCTCCTCGTCCCCCGTCATACCCCTGTCTCCCGTTGGTCTCTTCACCTATGCGCCTCAAGCTGCTGCTGCTGCTGCCGCTGCTCGCTCTCCCGCCCGCCGCTCCCGCTGTTCCTTCCGCTCCTGCCGCCGCCGCCGCTGGCTTAGCTGCCCTGGCTGCCACTCCTGCTCCCCCTCTGCCTCCGCTCTTCTTCGGAGCAGGGGCGGCCAGGCGGCTGGGCGCCCGCCCACCACGGCGCGACGGCGGTCCCCCTGCGCGGGCCCATGGCCGGCGACAGCTTCGGGGATGCGCAGGTGGGGCTGTACGCCGACGCGGGTGTGGAGAGGCCGCCAGGGAGGGGGGGGGAGGAGAGGGGAGGGCTGACTGCGGTCAGGGGCGTCCGCTCAGGCTGTCGCGGCCGTGGTTCTGGCCCAGCACTCTTCGGCGCGGCGCGCTGAGCACGTCCCAGTCCCCAAGGCATCGGCTGCCGAGCTTTTGCCAGCCTCCCGTCCTTCGAAGCAGAACGACCCGCCATCGGCTTGCAAGCCATAAGCCATCGGCTTGCAAGCCATAAGCCAGAAGTGAACTTCCCCACCCTGTGCTATCGCTTCTGTCACGACGATTCGGAGTCCGGTCCTGGGAGAGGCTGGAGCAACTTGCCGAGTCGCCATCCTGCCACTGCCAGGGCTGGCACCGAGTCTCGAATCCAGGTTTTCTCCTCGCGTCCACGCTGAAGAGGGAGGGCGTGCTGGAGTCCGCAGGTGCGCAGCGGCCCGTGCGTGCCGCCCGCACTCGCGTCGTCCCTGGCCAGGCGCCTCCAGGCCTCCCCCTCCCCCTCCCTCCCCAGCCTCCCCCCTCTCCTTCCCTCCCCGCTTCTTCCCGCTTTTTCCACTCAGTTCCTTGCCCCTCCCGTCCCCCGTCCTCCATGTGTTCTTCCCTTCCCTCCCCCCCCATCTCCCTCATTTGTCCCTGCCCGTTCCCGCCTTCCCCTCTCCGTCTCCCTCCCCTCCCCGCTCCCTCCCCCTCCCCCTCGTCGTCGCCTTCACTTCGTCTTCCCTTTGCACCCCCGCTTCTCCTCGTCGTCTCCCTCGTCCCCTTTTGTCTCGTCGTCGTCGTCGCCGCTGTCGTCGTCGTCGTCGTCGTCGTCGTCGTCGTCGTCGTCGTCGTCGTCGTCGTCATCTTCGGCGTCGGCGTCGGCGTCGGCGTCGGTGTCGGCGTCTGCGTCGGCGTCGGCGTCGTTGTCGTCGTCCTGGCGACTGTCGGGGACGAGGAGGGCCCGTCCAGCGAGCCTGGTGGCGGATACCCCGGCCGGGCCCTTCCGCCCGGGCGGAGGCAGTACCGGCTGCACCGGCAGCACCACCAGCAGGCGCCGCAGGATCCGGGGGGGGAGGCCCCCTGATCCCCCAGGATGTGGAAGGATGAAGGTGGAAGCAGGAAGTGGAAGCAGGAAGGTCATCCACGGGCCCTGGGACTGTCAGAAAACGACTCTGAATGAAGAACTGGTCTGAGGGAAGGCGCTGGGGTCCAGGAGCCGTTTCTTACAGGACCCCCGTCTTCATGTTGAAACGAGGAGGAGGAGGAGGAGGAGGAGGAGGAGGAGGAGGAGGAGGAGGAGGAGGAGGAGGAGGAGGAGGAGGAGGAGGAGGAGGCGGAGGCGGAGGCGGAGGAGGAGGAGGAGGAGGAGGAGGAGGAGGAGGGTGGTGATGATGCTGATGACGAGGAGGGGAGCTGTATGGCTTTCTTTTCAAGGGGAGTGTCTGAGACTCCAGGGGGCTCTGCAAGGAAAAGGGTGACGTTGTCGGGGGACGGAGAAAGGGGACAGAGGAAGGTTTTGCTCGTACATCCGAGGTCGCGTTTTTTTTACAGCGTGGCTCCCCAGAGGTATCGACCCGTTCCCGGGGGACCCGTTTGTCTTCCTGAGTCGTTTTTTGACGGCCCGGGGGCCTGGCAAGGCCCCGTGGAGGCCAAAAGCGGCCAGACACCTCCATTCCTGCTTCTCCCACGACGCGAGGACGTCGGGGTGCTTCCACCACGGGGCTCTTGCCACCGCTTTCGTGTACGTGTACGCCGTCGGCGTGTATGATCGGGTGCCCAAGCTGGGTTTTTCTGGGATGCAGCCTCGTATTTGCTCGGCCGATTGTATCGCCAGTTCGCCGCAGTCGTTCACGTTGCGACGCTTGCTCGAGCCACTGCTGGCCTGTACGCTTCGTCCCCTCAGCTTTCCTCCTTATCCTCCAAAATCGCGCTATCAGCGCCGTCTGTCGAGAACGCTTCGCTGCACACCCGCGGCCCTGCCCGGGCGCAATGCGGCCCGCCTGCAAAAACTCGGACCAGGTCGATTGGCGCGCCGAGAAGGGAAGGCAGGGGGGGCACGGGCCTCCTCGGAGGGCGGCGGCGGGGCTTTCAGAGGCCCTCCCGCGTCGGGGAAGACTTCGGTGGTTTCGGAGGAGGCCGTGGAAGCTTTTCGGAAGGCCAAAGGCCTTCTCGGCCTCCTGAGGAGGCCCGCACCCTCTGCTTTCCCCCCCGCGCGCCGCCCGTTGGAAGTCAGCCTCCTCGAGAGCAAAATCCTCCCACACCGACGACGGCGTTGCAACGCCTGGGTGCAGATGGCTTGGCAACCTGCGCCTGGTCACCTGTGAGGCGTGCCTGCCCCGATCGTGCTTCGCAGAATCTGTGGGGGCGCTTGCAGCAGGCGCACGTGCGGGTCTGCGGCCCAGCGGGGCCATGGCTGGTGCTTCGAGGCGCTTGTGGGGGAGCCAGCTGTTAGCAATGCCGCGACGGCGAGCACCCGCCCCATCCCAACGGGATGCGGGACCACTGTCAGCGAAAAGGTGGATGGAGCTTCTGCAGAGACTGTGCTTCTGATGGTGCTGGCCTGCCTGGGTCGTGGCTTACCGGAGGTCTTCGGACGCACCAGTTCTTGCTGCGATTACCGAGAAAGTACCGACACTTGATGGTTTTCACGTGTGTGGCCCTGGGATGCGATTCTCGTTCGACACTGTTTCGATACTTCTATGGGTGCTCGAAAGTATATCTTGGATGTAGTCCTTACGTACGATGAACAACATGAGTACAGAGTAAGCCTTGGGTTCGTTTAGATGGAGTTCGAACTAGAGCGCAGCGGATGGGCGCCCCGGCGCCCATCCGCTGCGGCACCCCTTCTCCCATTCGGGGGCCCCCAGACGGATTGGTGACCACACCGCGCGGTGAGGCAGTGGTGACTCGGGGCCACCGCGCAGCTTGGGGGCTCGGGTCGTTCTCCGAGGAAGCCTCGAGCGACTGGGGCCTCCGGGGTCCCCAGCCTGTGCGGTGACGCACCGCGCGGTGAGGTCGTCGGGAATTCCGTTCGTCACTATTCGGTGTTCGGGCCGGAAGGCCCGCCCGCTGCATCCGCGTCTGCCGTGCTGTGCTGTGCTTCCAGTCGGATCTCGGATGCGGGTGATCTCGTTGATGCCAGCGTGGCCGTGAGGCGCACCAGCTCTTGTAACCTTGGCATCGTTGCCAATTGCTGCTGGCGTTTCCAACGAGGCTTTCTACGAGAGGCGGCTTTGGAAGATGGAAACCTCACGCGATGCGCACAGTCAGCGCCACGCGTGCTTTGTAACATGCTGCTGGCTCTCCTGCCGCGCAGACTGGTTCGATGCCGTAACGGCCCAAGGATTCCAATCGGGCCTCCCAGCGATGGCGGAATTCGTTTGTTCATTCGCTCGTTCCAACGAGGCTGCGGAGCTGGCCAGGCTCGGGGTCACGAACCACGGCGTCGACAGGATACGTATACTTTGGACGCCCTCCGAAGCACCCACTGGCCGCTGGGCAGCGGCAGCTCGACAACAAGTGGTTATGATTAATGGGTAATTGTGACTCTGATTACTCTCCCAGGAGACGACGTCCATCCGACGAGCGCTCAGCCCAAGCGCTGCGTAGGGTGAGCTCGCAGTGCTCACCAGATCGCGCAGCTTTGCGAACAGGGCGTGCCACTCGAAGGTGCCCTCTTCCGAGCTGTCATGGTCATTGTGCGCGGCGTGCGGTGCCGCGACCGACAGGTTTCTGTGCTGTCGCTCCTCTTGAGGCCACTTCGGTGTCACAGCTCCGTGGACCACTCTGGCCCGGGGCGTCCGGGTGGATCTGGCCACGGGTGCCCTCGTGCCGCCGGTCCTGCCCCCCGCACTCCCTCGCCCTGGTCTGGCCACGGGTGCCCTCGTGCCGCCGGTCCTGCCCCCCGCACTCCCTCGCCCTGGCACCTCCCGCCGGCCACTCCCGCGGGTCGCTTCCCCTCCCGCCCGCGCCCCTCGCTCCCCCCTCCGAGCCCGCCCCCCCCCCCCCGGCGCTGGCCGCTGGCCGCCTGCAGGACCTGCACTTCCAGCCCGTGCAGCTGCAGCAGCACTACGGCAAGGAGAGGCAGCCCCAGCAGCCCCAGCAGCACCAGCCCCAGCAGCACCAGCACCAGCCGCAGCGCCGCCAGCAGTGGCAGCACGACCGGCCCGCTCAGGGCGGCCCGCAGGTGGGCCTGTCCCGCGCGTGCCTTCCCGCGGGGCCGTGCCCCTCTTCGCGTCGCGCTGCATCCTCTGGGGGCCTCTGCCCTGTGAGTGGTGGTCTCGTCTCCGTGCCCGATGCTGCGTCCCGCGCCGGCTCGACGCGGCTTCGGCGTTGGTTCGATGCGGATTCGGCGCTCGGCATGGGTTCGACGCGAGGTCGGCGAGGATGGCTGCGTAATTGGACAGGCAGGGTCCCCCGAAGATGCAGCACACCCTGCGCTCTCTCCAGTTCCCCTCGCCCGAGGCAGAGGGACGGCCCAGACACTCTCTCGGAGGTCTGCGCGGATCTCTTGCGTCAGCGGCTGGACCTCCGTGGCGGCACTCTCGGAGCCGCCCCCGGCCCGCAGAGCGCGCCAGGGAGCGGGGTCAGCGTTGACCCGACAAATCCGCGCGGACCTCCGTGAGTTTGCGCGTCGGCCCCGCGTGTGTCCCTCGGCTGCCTTCGGCCGCGGCGTGGATGCCCGCGCCGCTGCGACGACGGAGTGTCGTGCCGCTCTTCCTCCGTTCATGGGCTACCTCGGCTACCTCCGCGCCGTTCCTCCTGGAGGTCTGCGCCACCCCGTCCTCCCCTCTCAATTCTCACCAAGCGCGTTCCACTGCTCGCCTGGTGCCTGCTCGCAAACGTCCGACAAACAGATGTTTGCCTCGGTGAGATTTGCCTTAGACCCCCCGCGGCGGGTATAGGCCATTTGCGAGTACTTACTTTGCGAGCAGTGGAACGCGCTCGTCGAAATGCGCTGGGATGTTTCGGGGGGCCCCGAAGGGGCACCGTGGGGGGAGGGGGCGCCCTGAGGCCTCTCCAGGGCGGGAGAGGGCGAGGAGGCCCAGATCGGTGCACGACTTGGAGTGCCTGCGCGCTGCTGTCGTGGAGCTCCTCCGATCGGATGTCCAACGACCTTTCCGTGATGTCGTTCCACGTGCCACGATGCCGGCGCCCCCCCCCGCTCCCCCCCCCCCCGCGGAGCCAACCGCCCGGCGTCGCTCCCCCCTCGGGGCGCGCGGGGGGGCGGCTGGGCAGGCGGAGGGGGCGGGGCGTGGGGGGCGTTGTCGCCCCTGGCAGGTGGAATCGGCTCGGGCCCCCGTCCGCAGGCATGTCTTCAGGCATGGGGAACAGCAAAGCGAAAAGGAATGACGGGTCCCGAGGCTCCCCGCCTCCCGCCTCCAAGGCCCCCTTCTGGATCCTCGTCCGTGGATCCGAGATCAGCTCCTTGTTGTTTAAATTCGGCTGTATTGGAATCTGCCAGTGTTTGGTGGGTTCGATCTATGACGGGCCCTGTCCATTCACCGTGTGTTCAGCATGCTTCATATGTTCAGGCCACGAGGGTTCCACGGGCCAGGTTCGACAGCTTGTGGCGGGGCTTTCCCTGTTGCGTTCCAGGATTCGGTGGGCGTTTTAGGTGGGGGTCCTGGCCTTCGTGGGCGACCTGGGCAGGTCATGGTCATGGCAAATTGACAGTTTCGCGCCCAAGTTCTTTACTCTCGTGGTCCGCGGTGCTGCGAGACGGGCTGTGGAGAGAGGAGATCAATGCAATCAGTTTGTCTTGGAGGAGTGGAACGGGCCAATCTGCTGGTCACCGTTCTACCAGGCTTTGGGTCAGAAGAGTTCGGAGGCGTGGACCAAGTTGCACAGGGCGGCTCTTTCGGCCCTGGTCGCGAACATTTTTTGGTGCCAACACAGGATTGTTGAGCCCAATACTGGCAACCCTTAGGATTGTTCTCCATGCCACGACGGCCGTGGCACCCTGATCCATCGTAGATTCGTTTGCTGCGCTTCATCCTGGTGCCGCGAGAACCTGGATTCTGTGTTGTCGCGATCCGCTCAGGGAGGTGGCCATCTTTCGCAGTCGATTTGCGAGCTGTTCAGCACGGCCATCCTCCCGAACCCCACGTCCTGGGTCAACCACCACGCGCTTCCAGGGGCCTCAGGACGGGCCGCTGTTCGTTCCCGCGGGGGCCCATGTGTTCGCGGACGGGTCGGTGTTCGAGGGGGTCCTTGTTAGCATTCAAGTCTGGGGGTGGTCTGTGGTGGTGCTGGAACCTTAAGGGCGCGCGCTGGCAGCATTGTCTGGAGTAGTCCCCGCAGTGGAGGCGCTGGAACAGCTGGCCCGCGACGGGGGGCATCTTGCAGTTCCGATGCTGTCTCCAGGGCGGTCCTGGGTCCGAGCGTTCCTATTTTCGTGGGCTGTACGGCCGCAGTTGGATGTCTCGGAAACCTACCTGGGGCTGCTGGCGCGAAGGCGGCCAGGGCTCAGTGGTGGGCTGAGCTCGGTGGCCGCCTGGAAGGACTTCGCGCGCCTCGAGCGAGGACGTGCGAGATGGGAAGATCGCGGAATTGCAGCGTTTCGGGAATTCGGATAGCCTTTTAGTTCACGGGTGTGCTGATTTCGTGCTCAGGTTAGCCAAATGTTGCGCCATCCATCAAGCTGAGTGCGTAGAGCTGGCGCTGCAGGACCGCACTGGATAGGACCCGCTAGGCTACATCCTCCCCGACCCCATCCCTGGCCCCCCCTCCCTTCCTGGAAGCGGTTCGGGGGTGGCAGGCCGCAGGGAAGAAGCCGGGGGTGGGGCCTCACTTGCTTCCTCCTGGGCCGCCTGTGTCTGAGCTCCTGGGCAGCCCCGAGATCCCGCCAGAGGTTAGTACGTGCGCCAGGGAGGACACTTGCTCGAACAGGGGGACATATGCGAAGATGATCGTTTTGCACGCGCTGCAAGTGTGTGGCGCACATGCAGTCGAAGCGAGGCAGCCTCCGTAATGAATGCAATTCGTGAAGCTCCGGCCAGAGAACATTTTTTTAGTGACAAAACGTTTGAATATGGTGTCTACCCTGCCCACTTGAATCCGTCCAAGTGTTGTATGGCTTATGTGGGCCCCCCTCCTCGAGGTCGGGGGTGAATGGGCCCTTCTTTTCCCCGCCTGGTCCCCAGGCCTCCAGGGTGCCCCGAAACAAGTTCGGGCTTCTTTGTTCTCGTCTTCCTGCGAGAGCCCCGCGGCGGACATGACGCGTGGCCTCGCGCTGCACGGCCTCGCGCAGGACGAGGCTGTGGAGCTGGGGAGGGCGACCGAGGAGCAGCGTAGGAAGGGAGAAGTCGTCGAGGAAGAGCTCGACCTTCTCTTGGCCGCCACACTCGTTTTGTTTTTCCTTCTTATTTCTGTTGCATTCGAACGTGGTCGAGTCCTTCACGGTCGTGCGCCATCTCTTCTACCCCCCTCCCCCTGGTTCTTTTCTTCTCCCCTTCCTAAGAGGTTAGGGCTAACCGCGTTACTGTCGTCCGGACGCCGCCATCGTTTCTCCTACCCCTCCTCCTCCTCCTCCTCCTCCTCCTCCTCCTCCTTCTCCTCCTCCTCCTCCTCCTCCTCCGCCTCCTTTTCTTCCTCCCCCTCCTCCTCCTCCTCCTCCCTCCTCCTCCTCTTCCCCCCGCTCCTCCTCGTCGTCGTCGTCCTCCTCCTCCTGCTCCTCCTCTCTCCTCCCTTCATCCCCGCGGCCCCGCAGGGCGGCGGCGGCGGGAAGGCGGAGCAAGGGTGGGGCGCGGGCCCGCGTGCCCAGGCCGGCGGGCGTCCGCGCGGGGGGTTGGCGGCCGACGAAGCGGAGGAGGAGGAGGAGGAGGAGGAGGAGGAGGAGGGGGGAGGAGGAGGAGGAGGAGGAGGGGGAGGAAGAGGGGGAGGAAGAGGAGGAGGCGGGGGAGGAAGGGGAGGAGGAGGAGGAGGAGGAGTCTCCGAGAGTCAACGCCCCGAGCTTTCTCCCCATTGCCGTGGAGCAGTAGCGCAACTTTGGTCACAGATTGCGAAGGCCTTGCGACCGGTGCCGCCGACCCTGAAAGGGGGACGACAACGCCGACGCCGACGCCGACGCCGACGCCGACGCCGACGCCGACCACGACGACCACGACGACGACGACGACGACGACGACGACGACCACGACGACGACGACGACGACGACGACGACGACGACGACGACGACGACGACGACGACGACGACGACGACGACGGCGACGACTACGCTGACGACGACGACGCCGACGACGACGACGACGGTGACGACTACGCTGACGACGACGACGCCGACGACGACGACGACGACGGCGACGTGCGCAGGCAGGCGGGCGTCCGCGCGGTTGCAGGGCGGACGGCGAAGCGGTGGCACGTCGGGGGCTCCCGCGCGTAGGCCTCCCAGCTTGGGTCCCAACAGATGGGGTCGGAGGATCGCGCCGCATCGCCGATGCATCGGCGATGCGGCGCGATGTGGAACCTGATTTTCTCCATGCCGATGGCGCCGATGCATCGCCGACGCCGTCGATGCATCGCCAATTCATCGCCGTTGCACTGGCGATGCGGTGCGACCCCCAGACCTCGTCTATTCGGACCCCATGAGGGGCGGACAACGAAGCGGTGGCACGCCAGGGGTTCCTATGCCCTGGAGAAATAATGCGACTCTGTTCGTAGATCTGCTCGTTTTCTTCGCCTTCGGCTTTTCGCAGTTTTTGGCTCTGGGGCCGTGTTCGGGCCCGAGGCCGTCAGAAACGGACCCGGGATGAAAAGCTACGCCCAGGGGAGTCCTCCGGACGATTCTTCGACACGACTTGCAAAAGTTGCATTGCTTTCCCGAGGGGGTGTAGGTCCTACTGCCTCCGTCAAAATTAATAGCAAAAGCGCGTTACCTGCGAAGTACTTGTGGGAGCCTCCTCTCTTTCCACTGTCCGTCATCGTGGAACTTCCGAGCCGCGCCAGTCCAGGCTGCGTCAACAATTTTTGAGGTTCATGTTGTCGATGGCTGCAGGAGATGTCCTTGGCCCCACTGTGTCCCCGGCTTTTCGCCCCTCTTTGGAGCCCCTGGGGCCTTCTGGGCTTCGTGAGGGGTGCTCTGGATGCCGCAAGGGCCGCCTTGGAAGACGTGTGGTCACGCTTGGGCCAACGACATTTCTGGCAACTCCTGGGCATGCAGTTCTCTGGCCCCGCTCCGTTTTTCCTCCTCCTCCTCCTCCCTCCTCCTCCTCCTCCTCCTCCTCCTCCTCCTCCCCCTCCCCCTCCCCTCCCCCCTCCTCCTCCTCCTCCTCCTCCTCCTCCTCCTCCCCTTCTCCTTCTCCTTCTCCTTCTCCTCCTTTCCTCCTCCTCCTCCTCTCCTCCTCCTCCTTCTCCTCCTCCTCCCCTCCTCCTCCCCCTCTTCCTCCCCTCCTCCTCCTCTCCTCCTCCTCCTTCTCCTCCTCCTCCTCCTCCTCCTCCTCCTCCTCCTCCTCCCTCTCTGTAAGCAGTTGGGATAGTCCGTGCTCGCTCTGCATTCTATTCTGCTGTCTTGGCACCAACCGCCAGCGTGGGCTAATCTCTGGGCCGCCCAAGAGGGGTCCGAGGGGATGCGGTCGGAGGATGGCGTCGCATCGCAGATGCATCGCCGATGCGGCGCGACCCTCCGACCCCATTAGCTGGGACCCAGTTTGGTTGGCTCTTACGGTCTTGAGGAAGAAAACATACACTTTCCGGGGGCCGCGCGGGTTTCTTCGATCGGCGATGGTCGCCGTGCAGGGTCCATTCCGGTCCAGTCGATCCGATTCGATGCCGATTTTGGCTGGCTCGATCCGATTCCGATGCTCCCACGATCCGGTACGACCTGATGTTTGCATGGCGCTGCTGTGCACCAAGGCGGTGCCGATCCGATTCGATTTCGACTTCGTGCCGATGCGGCTCGATTCGATGCACAATCCGATTCGATCCGGTTCGACCAGGAAGGAGAGACCCTGCCGCGAGCAAGTCACGGCAGAAGGTCTTTGGACATGCGAAGCTCCTGGGGCCCTCGCCAGGCTCCGGGGCCGTCAGAGAAGGCTCGGGGTGAGAGGCCGGTCCTTGGGGAAGGTGTGCAGCTCTGCGGGGAGCCATGCCGCGAACAGAAAAGTCAAGGCGTCAGGTGCCCGCGGGGTCCGGAGGGGAACGGGTCCTGGAGGCTGTTGGCCGCTTGCGGGAACTTGTCAGTATCGTTCAACCGATCCCTATCCCCATCCCCCATCCCCATCCCGATGCCCACCATCCCATTACCCCAGTTGGGGAGATGTCCCTCGAAGCCTCGAGGGAACAGACTACATCCTTATCTAGGGGGTGAATCGGCCAGTGGGGCCCAGTTCGCGTCAGTGGGGAGGATCGGTTGAACGATGCTCAACTGGCACACACACAAGTAATGTCGGAATTCCGCTCGGATTCCTCGGATCGGCGTTGGACCCCCCTGGCTGCGCCTCCGGTGGCACCTTGTCGCGCTCCGCGCTTCGGGAAGGGTGGTCCAGCGCCGACCGAGGAAATCCGCGGGGACCTGGGACATTTTTATTCATACAAATGTTCTTAGGCTCCAGCTCATGTCGCTGCTGCCGCTGCTCCTTTTGTTTGTCTTCTCCCTCGTCGCCCCCGTTCTGCTCGTCCTCCTCGTCTGCACACGTTTTGTTAGTTTATGTTCCTTCAACCTCGTTCTCTCAGAAAGGAACACCTGTCAGTGCCGCATATGTTCATGTGTAGGTAGCAATGCTCTCCAGTGTGCAGGTCCTGCCAACCTCGACCCCCCCCCAGCTTACTGTTTTTTCGTCCGCGAATCTCGTTCTCTGGACAGCACGACAGCACGCGTCCGTCGACCAAACGCAACATGCACTGCAAGCTCATCCTTTTACCCATTTCTCTCAGCACTCGTGCTCTGCACACTGCTCGCCAGTCAGTCAACCAGTCAGCCAATCAACCTACCGACCAACCGACCGACTGATCAACCGACCAGCCAACTTACTCAACTAGCAAGCTATCCAACCGACTGACCAACAAACTCGACCAACCAGCCAAACCTGGCAGCCAACCAACCAGCTGACCAAATAAACAGCTAAACAACCCGCTAACTAGCCAATACGCCAACTGACCATTTGGCCAAACAAGCAGCCACCTGGCCAGCCAGGCAGCCAGGCAGCCAGCCAGCCAGCCAACCAACGACAATCCAACTGACAAAATAGCAAACTAACCTGCCGACCCTGCGATCAGCCAAACAGCCAGCTGCCAAGGTTACAGGCTGGCCAACCAGCCAGCTGGTCAGCCAGCCGACCAAGCGCACCATACCTGCCACATTTAAAACCGCCTCTTACATGTGGACCGAGCTTTGATTCCCGGGCTTACGCCGCACCGCCGACCCCTTGGGGGCGTAGTAGATGCCGTTCAGTGGGGGCCTGGTGTCAGCCTTGTGGGGGTTTTGGTGGGATCTCCTGTGGTCTTGGGGCCGAGGGCTCGGAGTGTCCGATCGGGTCCTTTGGCTATTTTTTTTTGGATTTGGTCTTGGGCACCTCTGTGGGCGTCGTGGAGGTCGCAGCTGCCGTCGTGGGGCCGTCGTGGGGGCCTTGCGGGTCTACGAGCGTCGGGAAGTTCAAAGCGCGAGATTTCCCCTAACACCGCGCACGATGCCCACATAACCCCGGGTTTGTCGTTGGTCGGGTAGAGCAGGGGGTGTATATCCAGAAGGAATACTGACACAGGTCCCAGCGACAACGCCGCAGTCGGTCTCCCTCATTCGCAACCGATCTCCCATTGTCTATCTTTATATGAATTCATATCATCCCAGCTCAACTGGTGCGTGAATTAGGCTTGTTTTTGCTGTTTTGGGGCCTCTTGGGGCCTCTTTTGGGGCTCTTGGGGGTCTCGTGGGGGCATCGTGGAGCCCCTGGACGGCCCCCTGGGCCATCCGGGGAGCTTCTTGGGGCGGAGAGCTAGAGTGTTCGGTTCGTGGTCCCTTTCTTGGGCCCTTCTTGGGGCCTTCTTGGAGGCCTCTTGGGCTGTCTTGAGGCTCCTTTCACTCGTATTCGGGCCCTCTTGGGCCGTCGTGGGACCTTCTCGGGGGCCTGACGGGCTGTTTTGGGGGCCTCTGGAGCCGCCATGGAACGTCGGAAGCCCGAAAAGGCGAGAAAGCCAAAAACCTTGGAACAAAACACCTACAAATGAAGTATTTTGGCCTCGTGGGGCTCTCGTGGGAGGTCTTTCTTGGAGGCGCCTCTTGGGTCCTCTTTTCGGTCTGTTGGGGGTCTCTTGGGGTGGAGGCCCTTGAGGGCCTCTTGGGGCATCCTATGAGCCTGTTGGTTGGGGCGGACAGCTAGAATTTTCGGGTCGTGGTCCCTTCTTGGTCCCCTCTTGGGGCCCTCTTGGAGGCCTCCTGGGCTATCTTGAGGCCCTCTTGACTCGTGTTCGGGCCCTCTTGGGGTGTCTTGGGGCCTTCTCGGGGGCCTGTTGGGCCGTCTTGAGGCGGTTTTGGGGGCCTCTGGGGCCGTCTTGGAGCGTCGGAAGCCCGAAAAGGCGAGAAAGCCAAAAACCTGGGAAAATAAAAACGCATGAACATCAACGACTTTGCCCTCTTGGGGCCCTCGTGGGACGTCTCTTAGACGCCTCTTCGGGCGTCTTGGAGGCATCTTGGGCCGTCTGGAGGCCATCTTGGGCGTCTTGGGACGATGTTTCGGCGACTCGGGCCCTTCTTGGACCGTCTTGGAAGTCTTTCGGGGCCCTCGTGGCCAGTTTTCAAGCCCTGGATACCCCCCCGGTAGAATTTCTGGAGCAAAGGACCCCCCGGGCGGCCCAGATAGACCCCCCCCTCCAAATCGACCGAATCCGGCTCCCGGGGGAGGGGTTTGGGGAGGGGGAAGCATCTCACACGCCGATGAACCCCAAGGGGTCGTCGGATTTTCTCCTCCCTCCTTCCCGCTCGCTGCTTCCTGTCCCAGGCCAACGGGAAGGCCCTTTCGCGACCCGCGATCAACAAGGACGCTGGCAAGCTTTTGGAGATGGGGAGATGGGAGAGCCAGGGGCAGAGGTGGGGGGACAGGCGGAGAGGGGCGGACGGCGGAGGGGGAACGGGTCTGAACGTGAGAGACGGAGACAGAGAGAGAGAGAGAGAAATCCAGAGAGACAGAGATAGAGAGTGAGATACACATGATGAGGTAACGATGTGTTTGCACGTGCATGCACACGTACATTTAAGTCTGTAGGTATCGAAGACGCCTAAGGCGAATCACCGCCGCCCCCTGCCTTTTTGGAAGCGCCTATGTGGCCGAACGTTGAGGCCAGACCTGCCAAGCTATCGGACCATGTGTTCCCCGAATCGGTTTGGAAAGCCTTCGGGGAACACGTGGGCATCTTGAAGGTCATCTTGGCCGTCTGGAGGCCATTTTGACCCTTTTGGGCCTTCTTGGAGGACGTCTTGGAGGGCTCTTGGGGCGTCTTGGAGGCCATCTTGAGCGTTTTGGAGGCCTCTTGGGCCGTCTTGGGGGCCTCTTGGGGCCGTCTTGGGCGATCTTTGAGGGCACTTGGGCCGTCGCGGGCCGTCGGAAGGCCGAACAAAAAGCACATGCCAGTCCTTCAAAAACTTTTGGGAAATCAATGATTTTGGCCTTTTCGGGTCTTCCTGGGGACCCTCTTGGAGGCCTCTTGGGCCGTCTTGGGCCATCTTAAGGCCATCTTCGGCCGTCTTGGTGGGCTCCCGGCCCGTCTGACGCCGCCGGAAGCCGTTTTGGGGGTCTCTCTGGGCCGACTTGGGGCCCTTTTGGAATGCTCCGGGGCCTTCTTGGAGGCCATCTTGGGCGTCTGAAAGGCCTCCTGGGCCGTCTCGGGGGCCTCTTGGGGCCGTCTTGGAGGCCTCTTGGGCCGTCATGGGGCCATTTTGGAGGCCTCTTGGGCGATCTTTGGGCGATCTCTGCGGGCTCTTGGGCCGTCTCGGGCCGTCGGAAGGCGGAAAAAGAAGCAAATGTCAAAATCCTTCAAAAGTTCAGGAAGCCTCTTGGGCCGTCTTGGGCCAGCTTCGAGCCAACTTCGGCCATCTTGGTGGGTTCCTGGCACGTCTGACGCCGTCGGGAGCCGTCTTTGGGGCCTCTCTGTGCCGACTTGGGGCCCTCTTGGGGCGCTTCGGGGCAGTCTTAGAGGCCATCTTGGGCGTCTTGGAGGCCTCTTGGCCCGTCTTGGGGCTCTCTTGGGGCCGTCTTGGGGGCCTCTTGGGCCGTCATGGGGCCATCTTGGAGGCCTCTTGGGCGACCTTGGGGGCCTCTTGGGCCGTCTTGGGCCGTCGGAAAGCCGAAAAGGCGCAAATGCCCAAATCCTTCAAAAACCTAATGAAAATCAATGATTTTGGCCTCTTCGGGCCTTCCTGGAGGACCTCTTGGAGGCCTCTTGGGCCGTCTTGGAGGCCTCTTCGGGGCCTCTTGGGCCTCTTGGGCCGTCTTGGGCCAGCTTGAGGCCATCTTAGGCCGTCTTGGGTGCATCTTGGGCCGTCTTGGAGGCATCTTGGGGCCATCTTAGCCGTCTTGGAGGCCATCTTGGCCCTCTTGGAAGTATCTTGGAGGCCATCTTAGGCCATCTTGGAGCCGTCTGGGGCAGGAAAACCCACGGCAACCACGCTGGAAGAGCCTCCCGGAACCCCAGCGGGACCCGCCGAAGGCCCAGGGGGAGTTCCTTCGGAAGAAGAACCAAAACCAAAACCGAGAGGGTCTAGCACGCCAGGCACCCCTGCGATGAATCGACACGGGCCGCAGATCTGTTGGCCTTCGGCCCATACCGCTACCGTGCCTGGCTTGTGGGTCAGAGTCCTCAGGGGTGCTTCTTGGGGTTTCTTCGGATCGCTCTCGGGGCCGATCTGGGAAGCAGTTACTGGGCCTCTTGGGGGCCTCTTGGGGCCTTCCTGGGGCCTCTCGGGGGCCCTTTTGGGGCCTCTTGGGGGCTTCTTGGGACCTCCGGGGGCGTCTTGGGGCCGAGGGCCATCATTTGCGACCCCCCCACCTTTTGGACGCCCCCCCTCTTGGAGGAGGGAGGAGGGAGGAGGAAGGAGGGAGGGGAAGGATTGGAAGGAGGATGGAAGAGGGGGAAGGGAGAGAGGATGACGACGAGCAGGACGACTAGGGGGACGACGAGGAGGACGAGGAGAAGGAGGACGGCGGGAAGGACGGCATGGACGACGGCGACGACCACGAGCGCAGCGCGCCGATTCCCCCCACCCACCTCGTCCGAGGAGCTCATCAGGGCAGCCGAGATTGGGGACCTCCGGCACCTGCTGGAGACTGTGGAGGTCGCGGCTGCCTGGGGGGGCGCCTGCGGGCTGCCTCAGGGATGGAGCGGGAGCGGAGGAGGAAGGGGTCCAGACCCTTAGGTGTAAGTCGGGCGTGCCCCTACAGGAGGGATATTCAAAAATAGTCTGGGGACTATCGATTGACATTTTTCCCAACCATCCTGTGGTGTTGGGTCCTCGTTTTGAAGAGACGGTGCCCCGCGTTCCTCCTTCCTTCCTTCCTTCCTTCCTTCCTTCCTTCCTTCCTTCCTTCCTTCCTTCCTTCCTTCCTTCCTTCCTTCCTTCCTTCCTTCCTTCCTTCCTTCCTTCCTTCCTTCCTTCCTTCCTTCCCTCCTCCCCCTCCTCCTACTCCTCCTCCTCCTCCTTCTCCTCCTCCTCCTCCTCCTCTTCTTCTTCCTCCCTCCTCCCTGCGTTTCACCCACCCAGTGCAGCGTTTCGTGGCCCCACGGGGAGCTCCACCGAAGGCCCCAGTAGCAGGGTTCGCATGGCGGCCCCGCGCCATTTTGGCGCACCCCTCACACGGTTCGTGGCCCCATAGGGAGCTCCACCGAAGGCCCCAGTGGCAGGGTTCGCATGGCGGCCCCGCGTTTTGGCGCACCCCTCACACGGTTCGTGGCCCCATAGGGAGCTCCACCGAAGGCCCCAGTGGCAGGGTTCGCATGGCGGCCCCACCTTTTGACGCACCCCTCACACGGTTCGTGGCCCCATAGGGAGCTGCACCGAAGGCCCCAGTGGCAGGGTTCGCATGGCGGACCCGCGCCATTTTGGCGCACCCCTCACACGGTTCGTGGCCCCATATGTAGCTCCACCGAAGGCCCCAGTGGCAGGGTTCGCATGGCGGCCCCGCGTTTTGGCGCACCCCTCACATTGTTCGTGGCCCCGTAGGGAGCTCCACCGAAGGCCCCAGTGGCAGGGTTCGCATGGCGGCCCCGCGTCATTTTGGCGCACCCCTCACACGGTTCGTGGCCCCATATGGAGCTCCACCGAAGGCCTCAGTGGCAGGGTTCGCATGGCGGCCCGCCCCATTTTGGCGCACCCCTCACATGGTTCGTGGCCCCATAGAGGGCTCCACCGAAGGCCCCAGTGGCAGGGTTCGCATGGTGGCCCCGCGTTTTGGCGCGCCCCTCACACGGTTCGTGGCCCCATAGAGGGCTCCACGGAAGGCCCCAGAGGCAGGGTTCGCATGCCGGCCCCGCGCCATTTTGGCGCACCCCTCACACGGTTCGTGGCCCCATATGGAGCTCCACCGAAGGCCCCAGTGGCAGGATTCGCATGGCGGCCCCGCCCCATTTTGGCGCGCCCCACACACGGTTCGTGGCCCGATAGAGAGCTCCACCGAAGGCCCCAGTGGCAGGGTTCGCATGGCGGCCCCGCCCCATTTTGGCACACCCCCTCACACGGTTCGTGGCCCCATAGGAAAGTCCCCTTGCTTTGTCCCACCTGCCTTGCGGTGCTCACACTTGCGTATGGTTGGGTCTTTCGCCATGTTTTTTTTGTTGTGTTTTGTGCATATGTTGAAGTATTTTCTGACTATTTTGCATTTTTCGTCGAAGATCCGCCTGTAGGGGGACATGCCCGACCTAACTCTAGGGGGACACGGTGCGCGATCCGTCAGTCGCTAGCTTAGCCTCGTCTCCCTTGGGCAGCGGGGGCTTATTTCCCGGCAGCAGCGTCAAGTGCATTCCTTCTTCTCGCCTTTGACGAGTGCTTCCGCCGAGCAGGGACATGGAGGGATCTCGCTGGCAAGCAAGATGCAAGAGCAAGCCTTGCGTAAAGAGTGGGCCATCCGAGGCAGGGGCATCATGAATGAAGCTCGCTGGTACACCCGACTGTGCCTTGACCACGACAGCCCGCGGCAGCAGGTATTCAAGCAGCTTATGCAGACTTGTGTCCTTTAGCCGCAGTCGCAGATGCCAGTTTGAGATATCTCGTCAGGCGATCGCGGCTGTGTGGATGGTGGAATTAGGAGTGAGGAGTGAGTGAGAGGAGGGAAGGAGGGTAAACAGGACGATGAGGAAGGATGAGGCAGGAGGAACGAATAGACGGGGTGAGTGGAGAGAGACGACGTGGAGGAAAAGTAGGATGAGGAACACGAGGTCACGGGTTTAACCTATATTTGGATTGACGCATTTTGCCAATGTTCGACCGAGTTCCAGCCGACTCTGGGCGTAAATCGTTTGCCTCCGAACGCATTTTTAGCGACGGCTTGCGGCATCGAGCTTGTGCAGGCTTGTCCGAGGCTGTTCACGTATGCCGCGCTGACTTGCACGCACATGGCCAAGGCGTCATGCGAGCCTCCGTTAGGCA